AATGGCTGCAATATAACAAAGAGTGAAAAATTTAAGGGGGTCTGAATACTTTCCGTACCCACTGTATATAAATATAAAAATGTTAAAAATGTATAAAAATTATAAAAAATTATATATATATATATATTATTTCAAGTAACTAGAATGTTTTTTTTGTTTTTTTTTATAGTTTTAGTTATAGTTAACTATAATAACACTGCTTGAGTCTAGTGGAAAAAAACATCCAAAATACACATTTAACTGTTTATTTTATTGCACTTTATCGAACTGCTTCTGTTTCATTTAAAAGACATATTTTTAAGGGCCGTTTTCTCTGAGTTTGATGAGTTTGTTTCTCCACTTCAGTAGTACTTACTGTACATACACCATTTACAGTTTTATTCTTATTTATGTATTCTGAAGGTTTTTATAAAGGGGTTTGGTCATATATCATTCACACTGATTTATAGAACATTGTAATCCTAAAAACATGGTGAAAATGTGTGTTTCTTTCTGGCTGTTTAAAGTGTTTTCTGATTTATAGAGTGATAAAAAGAGAAATCCAAAATCCCCTCTGTAAAATCTTTCACTTTAATATGTCAACTAAATGAAACAAGAATTTTGAATTTGATAATGCATCATTTGCATATTTAATATTTCAGAAAATGTGTAATACAAAACAATTGTCTTAAATGATTAATCTCCTGGGGAAAGTATGCTGATATCTATTAGTTAATATTTTACCATATTAACTTGTAGTGTCTTGCCTTAAACGCAAAATGCATCAAAATATTAAACAGAACATCCTTGACAAGCTATGCATATATTCATGAATTTGAAATGAAGTTTTTGATCACATGGAGACTTTGATTTTGAGTGTCCAGGTGAAATCCATCGGTCAATAACAGTCAGTCAGCTGGTCAGCGCCGCGTATGCTGATATCTATTAGTTAATATTTTACCCTATTAACTTGTAGTGTCTTGCCTTAAACGGCTGTAGCAAGGAAGTCGATAAATAAGTTGATAATATCCCAGAATATTCCTTTAAACCCTTTAAAAAGCTGCAAAATGCATCAAAATATTAAACAGAACATCCTTGACAAGCTATGCATATATTCATGAATTTGAAATGAAGTTTTTGATCACATGGAGACTTTGATTTTGAGTGTCCAGGTGAAATCCATCGGTCAATAACAGTCAGTCAGCTGGTCAGCGCCGCTCTGTCATTGACCAAACCAATTAGTCTGAACTTTTGCAATAAGCACACTCTGAATGCAAAGATGCGGCCGGACCGAAGCGCTTCCTCTGGTGTTGAACCAGCGAGCGGCTGCAGTTTGACAGCGTGCAGTAACATGTTTTATAATTACTTTGAAGATCAGTTTTAATTAATACGCTTGCGGATGAATATGCCCTTGCTATGAACAAACATGATGCTGTCATAAAATTTTAACTGTGCCTTGTTGTGTTTTTTGTAGGTCGATCAGCATGCAAAGGAATATTTCAATCTAACATCGGACACTGAGTTCAAGGCCATCAAATCGATAGTCTTGGGAAAAGTGAGCGGTGAGTCAAATCACTGTAAACTGTCAGACGGAGATTTCCACGGCTTAAATATTTGAATTTGAACTTCTAATTTTGAAATGTCAACAACAATTCAAAATGAATTTAATTGACTGCTCATATGGCAATGATTTTTGAAGCAGAATTTCGAAAGTTTAAACTAAATGATTTTAATAAAACATTTTGTTCAGGATGAGTTTTGAACTGCATGCATTAGTGATATTTCTTATAATGCCTTTATTATTTTCTGATTTTAATGAAAATTTTTGTTCAGGATGAGTTTTTGAACTGCATGACCAAAAATTGTAGTGGTCCTAAAAATAGACTTAATTATATATTTTTTTAAGTTTAAGCTAAATGTTTTCATAATAAATGAGCAAAAACCAAACGTCTTACATATGTGCTATTTGACAAGCAGTAATAATCTGTTCTGGACATCACCAGAGTGTTTTTGTATTAAGGAGGAAATGTCTCTGAATCACAATCGAGTTCTGACCTCAGCGACATGCAGACGGTCAGTTAAGTGGCCATTATTATATTCATTTTAGAGGTTTTCTAAGCATCACGGATGCTGAAATGTCTGGAGGAAGCGGAAGCATCAGGAGCTTGTTTGTGCAGTCAGGCGAACTCTTCAGTCTGAGTGAACAGAGTACGCTTTGTCCTATTTACTTCAGATAAGACTAATATTGACTTTACATGTTATTATTGTCATCTGGGGGGACGGCAAATGGGTCAGTTTAATTTTCTATGTCTATAAATAGGATCTGCAGCAGCTTTCTAGTCGTAAAACCCAAATAGATGAATAAAACATTGAGTTAATAAATAATACAGCAGAAGTTTGAAAATACAAAGCTTGCAGGGGGAATCTCAGGAAGACGTTTTGTATTAAAAAGTATATTATTAGGATGATTTTTGTTTGTTTGTTTTTGCATAGTGGCTTTTTTCATTAAAATGATGCACAACAACAATTCAAAATGAATTTAATTGACTGCTCATATGGCAATGATTTTTGAAGCAGAATTTCGAAAGTTTAAACTAAATGATTTTAATAAAACATTTTGTTCAGGATGAGTTTTGAACTGCATGCATTAAAAGAATTCTATTATTAGGAGGTTCGTTTGTTTGTTTTGCATTGTGATTTTTTCATGACAAGCATAAAACTGCATGCATTAAAAACTGCCTTTTATTGGGAGGTTTGTTTGTTTATGTATTTATTTTGCATTGTGACATTTTTCATGACAATTAATCACAATCTGCCATTAAATTCTCATTATTTTCAATATATATATATATGTGTGTGTGTGTGTGTGTGTGTGTGTGTGTACCTGTTTTTCTATTCTGGTGGGGACTTAGAATTAACTGTCTATATCAGCAGCTATCTGCATTAAAAAAAGCCTTTTATTAGGAGGTTTGTTTATGTGTTTATTTTGCATTGTGACATTTTTTCATGACAATTAATCACATATATTCATAATATTTTTTATTATATAATTTTTTATTTTTTATTTTGTATATATATATATATTTTTTTTTTCCCATAAAGTACAGTTGTAAGTAAATAGCATTGTAATATTTGTTATAATGCCTTTATTTATTTTTTTCTGATTTTAATTATATTTTTTGTTCAGGATGAGTTTTTGAACTGCATGACAAAAATTCATAATGGTCCTAAAAATAGACTTTTTTTTGCACAAATATAACATTGACTTTTGGAAATGATGTTTTTGTAAGGTTTACTGGCAGGGTTTACAGATATTAAGAAAATGAGGAGCTTTACGATTGCACATGATCAGTGAGCTCTGTTTTATTCTGTATCTCCCCCAGCAGTCATTTCTAGTTACCCAAAGATCCTCATGAGCCAAATTAGGCTGGTTCATTCTCTTCGTAATGATGTACAGGTCACGGTCGGCGGTGTTTTATGGAGGGAAACATTCTCTCGGGGCAGCGTGTGCATCCATATGACCTTTCATATGAACATGTGACATGAAACACATTTGCTGTAACCCTTCAGATAGTGTGTCACTGACAGCGGCCTGTGTGTTATTTCCAGCAAACACTATCGATCACGGCCAGAAATCGACTTGTAATGAATACTAAATCAAATGTGAAACCGGCATCGAGCTCCTGAAGATTAATATTAGACCAGTTCTGAGCTGAAATGACGGCAAGCAGATGCTCAGAATCAAGCTGGAGAACAAGATCATCAGGTGCATGTCAAAATAGAGACACACCAAATACGGAGACCATTCATGCTCATTTTTCCATTTAACCTTGTAAAACTTGACATGAAATAATAGAAGAAAAAAAAACTTTTTTATTGAACCTGTAGACAAAATCTTTGAAAAAGTTTGCATATGCTTTTTTTGTTGAGTATCATATTTGATCCATCAAGCTTTTATGGCTCATAGTCAAGAGAGAATATTGAGAAAAGAACAGCTCAATTTTATTCAGTCTCAAACTGAGCAAAAATGTGCAATTTGCCTTAGATGCTGATATTTATATGCTTGTAATGTAAGTTAATGAGATTGACATTATAGCAGATATTCACATAAAATGATCTCAGTAAGATGAGAGTGAAATGATCCAAACATATAATGCAGTGATTGAGAGCTGAAGAAATAAAGGCTCCTCAGAAGATGTGAGATGTTCTGGAGGCTTGTGAAGATCATTCCTCCGCTGAGGAACAGTGAAAGTAAAGCTTCTGGAAACAAACGCTCCTCAAAAGATCCTGAGGATCAGATTTGAGACTCTAAAACATGATTGATGGAGAATCAAGTAAAGCTGAGCTGCTTCAGTCCAGTAAGTGTTCATCTGGAGATATTACTGCAGTTATTCTGACCTTTACTTGATCAAAACCAGTCAAGATTTGACAGCAGAAAGACACGTGAAGCTCCAGCTACAGTTACACTACAGGAGCTTTGACTGAATAAACTCTAAACTATCAATCAGACGACAGAAGCATGGAGGAGATTGAGTGCGAAACAGGTTTAACAGCAAAGTTTTGATCATGTTGATCATTTGGAAGCCTAAAATTTGCATATCAAATACCACACAGTAGCTTTATAGGGTGAATTTTTCACTCAAACTGCAATGCTGATAATATAAAATGTAAAGTAAAGAGCAGACCTAATAAAAAAGCTTCATGCACTTGTTATCTGTCGACTACGTTGTGTTTTTTCTTTCCATGGGCCATCGAGCCGTCTGTGGCTCAGTGTCTGAATAAAAGTACTTCCATCAGGCTCGATGTGTTCAGTTCACTGCCGTTGCAGCGTGCGGTTTTCGCTCGAGATGTTTGGTACAAAACCTGGATCGCATGGTTTTGTGTTCAGTCGCTGCTGTCCATGTACGTTTGAAGTGAGACTCGCATCTCGTTACAGAGGCTGTGACGAATATTACCTGAGCTTAATGGAGTTCTCATGTTATGTGTCGGTAAAGCTTGTTTCAGATGTTTCTCCTGAATTCTCTGAAACGAGTCAGTAGTTGACATACAGTCTGTAAAATGAATGTGGAAGCAGCTCAGATCATTTGGTCTTGGGAGAATTTGATGAGAAATGTTTGAGTTCATAACGAGATCTCTGACTTTTGATTGCAGATCTCTTCTGAAACTCAAGAGGAGACGTTTGTGAGTCTTTTTCTCAGGAGAAACATCTGAGAAGCAGGAAACTCAACCAAACATTTTCATTAGATCTCCATTTAATTGCTATCCTGGAGAAACCAATGAGATATTTTTGAGATCTATCACTTTATATTGCAGATTATAGTATCTTAGTAGGCCAGTTTCCATCACCCGGTTTTTATGCGCATTTTGAAGTATCGCATCAGAAACGAGTGATGGGAAACGCCAAATTTAGAAATTTTCATGCTCACTTGAGGTAGTTTTTGACTTGTGCGAAAAAGAGTTAATGCGAATAATGGGAGATGGAAAATCATTTGCTGAATAAATTCCTCCATGAGCATCAAAAAAGTCATGTGACTTTGAGCAATGGGATGGCATAACTTGACTAACTGGCGGACTGATCTCTTTTCACAGCATCTGAAATGTTGTTATGGTCATTCTGAAATGCCTGAGCAAACTCTGCGTCCTACTTTTCTTAGTGATATTTAGTGCCAATTTATCAGGAAGTGACGAGTTTGTTCTCTTTGACTCTTTGGATGGAAACGGTGCTTTATTCGCAAATGTTTTATGCGATATTTCAGGGGTTTTTTGCACACAAGTTAAATTCGCAACTTTGGATGGAAACATATCTATTGAGGTCTCTTCTGAAACTCAAGAGAAGACATGTGAGATCATTGAGTTTGTTTGTTTTTTTCTCAGGAGAAAGATCTGAGAGGCAGGATACTTCAGAAAATCCATTAGATCTCCATTTAATTGCTATCCTGGAGAAACCATTAAGATAATTTTAAGATGTATGACTTAATATTGTAGACTTTGCGATCTTGGTAGATCTGAGTTCAGCTGGAGATACTGAGATCTCATTGAAAACTCTAGAGGAGACATATGTGAGATTACATTTGTCTTTTTCTTAGGATAAACATCTGAGAAGCAGGAGACTAAAACATTTCCATTAGATCTCCACTGAATACTCAAATGCACCTGTTCTTGTTTGCAGAATCAGGTGAAGTGGATCCAGAGATCGCCCGTCTGAACGCTCTGGGCTTCACCGGCTGTTTGTCTGTGGTCCAGTTTAACTCCATCTCTCCGCTGAAGGCAGCTCTGCTGTATCCAGACACCAGTCCTGTCATAGTCACCGGACCGCTGAGCGAATCCAGCTGTGGCTCGTCTTTACCCACCAACCCATACGCCGCTGAGACCACTCATTCACTCACAGGTACACCATCAACACTGACGCCCATTTCCTTTAATAGTTTAGTTATAGACAGTCAAAATCCCATTCATTTTCTCCATAGGTGAATTGATTGTAAACAACTTTACAGACCTGAGCTCCGGGTTGTTAATCAATGTTCAATCAATGTTAATCAATAATACAGTGGGTACTGAAAAGAATCAGCCCTCTTTAAAGTAATCACAGTTTGTTGCTTTACAACCTGAAATGAAGACGGACACAGTTTTTGTTTTATCCAGCTGTATTTACTCAGTGCAACTTAGAACATCCAAGTGAAAGATAAAACACCAACATGCAGAAAAAAATGAACATAAATAAATAGTTTCTATATAATTAATGAGCACCTTTAAATCAATAGTTTTATATTTCTCCGTGATTTTTATTTTAAGTCATTTGCAATGCTTCACAGGATTGTAGTTCTTTCCCGCATTAAAGCCCTAAAGTTCAGTCTTGTATCTTTGTCTTTTCACCAAATTTCACTTTTTTGGATCCAAATCAAAGTTTGTAACGCTGTGATTCTCCTCATAGCTGGTTGGTTTGGTTCAAACACTTTTTAAAGATCTCTATGGGGAAAATGAATGGAAAAATACTTCCAGAACCAAAGATGTTGAAAAAGTGGGCGGCACTCTTTTGGTTTATTGGTCAAACCAATTAATTGTCTGATATTTGGCCTTTTTGAGGTCAAAATGGACTGATAATCCTTGTATCAGAACCTAAATCTACCAAGAGGCTTTGCCAATGGTTTAACTAGTTCTGTTTTAGTGAATTTAGAGTAAATATCGACTCAACTTATAGTTTAAACTGTGAAGTACACGAACGCCAGCACTTTAACGCAAACCCGATTTTATGTGTCAGACTGAAATTCATAACTTTGCACATAAGTATAAGTGGAGACTCCTAAATGATTGTGAATATGAGATACTACGTTTTAGATTGTCACTGCAAAAAATATTTTCTTCTTTTTCATTACGAATATCTAGATACATTTGCTTGAGAAGCAAAAGGACTTAAGATGTCATTATTTGTGAAAAAATTTATAAAAATTAAGTGAGGGGTTTTTTTTTTTCTTAAAATGAAAAGAAATATCTGCCAATGGGGCAAGAAAAATAATCTTGTTTTCCATTTGAATTAACAGTATTTTTCTGACCCCATTGGCAGATATTTTTCTTGATTTAAGCAAAAAAAACTTTTGATAATTTTTCAGAAAACAAGAGTTAATATCTCAAATCATTTTGCTTCTCAATTAAATGTATCTTCAAGAATGTTTAGATATTTGTACTTGAAAACATGACAAAAAAACTAAGTAAGAAAATCACTTTTTTGCTCTATTTTAAGATTTTTTTCTCATTTAATTTGGTCTTTTTAGTACTGCTGTTTTGTTGTAATTGAGTGTTTTTAATGAGAGTTGTCTTTAGGAACCTGTAATCATTGTGAAAGTTTAATAAAACAATCAATAAAACATTACATTTACCATTAACATACAATCTTCTACTCTCCAATTTTGTCTTCCAGCTACTTTCATAGCAGCATAACACTTACAAAACAAAAATGTATAGGAATATATCATATGAAATAGTGCTTATATTTTTAAATTAACTGCAATATATGCACGGGCCATGAATGGCTATAAATTGATTCATATAAAAAAATATATAGTAATGAAGACAAAAACTGCATTACATCACTTTATTGAAAGAATTAATTTGTGTCTTGCTAATGCATGAGTTTACATAAAGGTGAACATTTATAACTTGATGGATGGATGGATGGATAGATAGATGGATGGATGGATAGATGGATGGATGGATGGATGGATGGATAGATAGATAGATAGATAGGTAGATAGATAGATAGCTAGATAGATAGACGGCTAGATAGATAGATAGATAGATAGATAGATGGATAGATAGATAGATAGATAGATAAATAGAACAGTTATAGGCATCTGTATCTTCTTCAGGCTTTGTTTTCCAAACTTCTCTTTGGACTCTGTTGAGTCTTTCTGGCCAGATTCCTGCTGAAAGTCGAATCTCAGCAAACTTTCGTCGCCGGCTCACTGAATACATCCGCAGTGCTAATTAAATTAGAGCAATAATAATGGTAATGGCTGATCACTGTATTAATCTGCGTGCGAAAGACCTTCATTTGCATAATCATTTCTCGATTGCCTCTGCGTTTGTGCTGCATCGCTCCTTCATCGAGCGGCTCTGGCGTATTCAATGAGCCGCGACCTTCGAACGATAAACGCTTCAGTCCTGCTGATGATCTGTCTGTCTGTCTGTCTGTCTGTCTCTCTTCTCTGCTGTAGATCATGTGGGTTCAGTAAATACGGGTGAGCCAATAGTCAATGCTATCAACAGCGACTCGGCTTTGATCGGAGGTAAATGGTGTTGTAGAGCATGAAATATATACTCCATTCCTCATCTGTTCTCATTTCATTCATTATTATTTCGCTGCTTTTGGCTGATTTTTACTTGGTCTTGCTCTAGGAATGTCTTAAATGAACAATTCGCCCAAATCATCATTTACTCGTTCCCAGACGTTTTGACTTTATGTACTTTGTGGAAGACAAAAGGAAATGTTTACCACCTTTTTCCATTCACTAAGACTGTTAAGCTCCAAAAATGCAGAAGACAAGTGAAGAAGAAAAAAAAAGTGAAATTTGAAGAAGAAAAAAAATGTCAGTTTAGCATTTTAAGTTTTAGAAAATGGAACTTGGAAAATGGGAGAAAAAAAAAATATATATATATATATATATATTTCATAAACTGATATAATGTCAAAATACCAATCTACTGAGGGATTAAAATCTGTTTTATACCTTTGTAATATACTGACAACTACCATAAAAACAGGTGGTAAAGACCCATACAACACTAAAATAATGCAATAAACATTCATTTAAGAACAAAAGATGCAATGTAAAACCCTAATGTATATAAATGATAACAAAAAAAATGAAGAAAAAACTTAAGTCACACGTGATTCTGCAAATTATAATATGACTTGTTCTTTTCCACCAAAAACTTTACAGTATTTTTCTGTAAAACGATATTAAAAATGCCAAAATTAAAGTTAAAATGATATCCACTATGTATTGTAAGGAAACGTATTGTTAACCAATTAACAGGTTTTTACTCTAGCATTTATACACCTTCAAAATTATAATATTTTACAGTGAATAAGTCTTCTAAGGTCATAATCTTTAAAAAAAAAAAAAAAACATTTTTGAAGCTGTAAAAACAACATAAATTACTGAAGTACAAGAAAACACTCTTTTAGTCTTTCTACTTCAAATTGTCATGTTTAATTAAATGTGTTACTTGCATTTCTTTGTCATTATTTGTGAAATTTACACCAAATTTATTTCTGTATATGACGTTTTCTATGAAAATCAGGTGCAAGTTTACACATCTGTTTACTGTTACTGTATGTAAAAAAGCAGCGTGAACATTGTGCTAAACATCTCCTTTTGTGTTCACCGGGAAGAAAGAAAGTCATACAGATTTGGAACAACATTTTGACAGGCAACTTACATTTTGTGAGCTAAAACTTGCACTTAATGACAAAGACGTCGGATGATTTGTCATGCAAAGTGAACTTCAGTCTCCGTGTGCTTTTGAAAGACTCTATAAAACTAATCAGAAAACCTCCAACCCGGCAGCGGCCCTCAATAATGACTGATTAACGCCTGCGTTCACATTGACCGAATATAAAGACTTCTCCAAAGCTATCGGTAAATAGAATGAAATTAACAAAGGCCCCCAAAACTAATTAAACATTTAAAGAAATGATTTGCTGATTAAGGGGTTTCTGCTACAATCCCGAATACACTTTGTCCTTTTCACAGCCACCGTAATGTGGCATTAAATTGAGTTGAGATTTATTTTGGCGCTTCAATTAGGCATTTCTTTTACCCTTTATAATTAAATGTGCCATGCTTAACCGGCCACAAAGGAGAGAAACATTTTAGAGGCATTTGGCTCTGACAGCGAGTAGAATTGAGACGAAGAAGCATTCACGTAACGAAACCATCGGAGCGCCAGTCGCCAGGGTTTTTTGCCAACTCTCTGGCCCTTATTGATAGTCTGTATTTAACAGCTACAAAATAAAAGGCGCTAATGGCATCTAAATTACGATTGATATCGGCGTAAGGTCTGGATTCACCCTTCAGAAACACCTCTGACCGCTGAAGTTTAACACGTTTTGTGGCACTAAAAGCCACGTCTGTAAGTCACCCGCCACTAAATGACCTATTTAGGTGATTACTCTTGAATGCTTTATACCATTTATACCATTCAATTAAACCTCATTAAGTTGAAGATTTGAATTTTTACCTTCACATATTCATATTAATATTAAATATTTTAAACATATTTATATTAATTAATATTTTGACATTATTAATTTCCCCCCAAAATGTTTTTGCAATGGCTAAAGCAAATTTTGAATTTATTTGACCATAAAGCATATGGAACTCCTTCAATTTTCATTACAAATTATACATATTTTTAATATAAATATAATTAGTTTGTATTAATTAAATTTATATTCATTTATAATGTATTTACATATATTAGTATTGGTATTAATATTCATTTAGATTAATATTAAATAATATAAATATGTTGTTTATATTTTATTTTTATAAAATATAATCAAAAAATATTTATACTTTTTTTTTTATATTAATTTCCCCTTTTTTCTTTTTCAGTGCTTACATTGAATGTTGAATTGTTATCATGAACTATAGATATGAAATTCCTTCTGTTTTCATTACAAATTATTATGTGTTTATTAATTCAATTAATACATATTCATTAAATTTTTTACTTCATAATGTATTTTTATTTACATGTATATATTTGTATTAATATTAATAAAATGATTAATAAATAATATAATTGTATTTATTCTCAATATTATTTATTTTAATAACCCCCCTTTTTTTTCTTTTTTTACGGTGCTTACATCCAGTATTGAATTATCATCATAACTAGAGATATGAATATGAGTGAATACATATTAGTTAATACATATTATAATATAATACATATTAGTTTGTTTTTTTCTAAAACATTATTTTTTTTTTTTTTTTTTAAAATTTAGTCAACCATTTCCATTTTGCATGTTTCATTATCCAAAGATGTAGAAATGTAATTGAGTCATAGCGTCTAGCTCTGCTGTCCAGAGTCTCCTCACTATTTCGCGTGTCGCTGTGCTGTTTTTCAGGTGTCATTGCCGTCGTGATATTTGTGAGTCTGGCCGCGCTGGCTGTGATGGCGCGATTCCTGTACCGGCGGAAAGAAACGTTTCAGCCCCAAGAGCCCAAAGCGGGAAAAACAGATGATAGTCCCGAAACGCCCTTTAACACGGATCCAAACTCACAGAGCATTGTCAGTGATTACCAAAAAGAATATTTCATATGACGCTCTTTCACCTCGTATCGGACTAATCCAGTTAAACCGACGGACTGAAATGCCTTGTCGAGTCTAGGGACATTAACATTCACGGTGCATTATGGGAAACCTTCCGAGAGACTGGGGCTGCTGAAGACGAGCGACGCGTCCCTAAGTTTTTGCCCTTTTTGTACATAAAACAGTTATTGTCCAGAGATCTGGCACAATAGTACGGTTTCTAAGGTGTGTATAATGACATTCATTGGTTGTAAATATTCTTTTGAAATGAAACTTTGTAACATCACCTTCTCCTTTTGCCTTTGAATGATTCAGTGCTCAGTATTACGTTTAACGGAGTTAAAGAAGTGATCATTGTATAGCTAAATCAAAATAAATGTGTGAGTTGGCGAGTGCGATGTTGTTGTGAATACATGCGTTCGTGCAAAATACTTCAGATTTTGCAGAAAAGGCTGTACTCTCCGTATTTATCACTCTTTGCCCGTGCTTTTTCTCAATGATTTGCCACTTGGAACAAAAATACATCCTATGACAGTTGTTTATTGTGAACTACTTGTGTCTCTGGTCTTTTTTGTCTCTTAATAACATGAAAGTTGTTTTCGCTACCCATTTATTTACATATTTACATTCCATTTTACAAGTAAAACATTAAAAATTGGGTCAAAACAGGATAAAGAAAGTGCATTTTGAACATGAACATGAAAAATGAACATTTGCTGAAAATGTCCTCACTCTCAGGCCATGCAAGAAGTAGATGAGTTTGTTTCTTCATCAGATTTGGAGAAATGTAGCATTGCATCACTGTCTCACCAATGGATCCTGTGCAGTGAATGGGTGCCGTCAGAATGAGAGTCCAAACAGCTGATAAAAACATCACAATAATCCACAAGTAATCCACACCACTCCAGTCCATCAGTTAACATCTTATTAGAAACAAATCCATCATAAAGATGTTTTAACCTTAAACTCTCACTTATAGACTAAATACGAGTCCATAATCCATAATAACGCTTCCTCCAGTGAAAAGGTGATCTGGTTTGAATCAGGAGAGAAATCTGCACAGATCAAGCACCGTTTACAAGCCAAAACAGCTCTAAACAAATACTGTATGTGGCTGGATTTTGATGTGAGAGACAACAGGAGATGGACTTTTCCACTGGAGGAAGCGTTATTATGGATTATGGACTCGTTTTTTTTTAGCCAGAAGAAAATGTTTGAAGTTAACAATCCATTATATCTTAATGATGGATTTGTTTCTTACAAACATGCAGCTTTTATGTGTGTGTGTGTGTGTGTGTGTGTGTGTGTGTATACTGTATATTCTGGGCACATGAGCTGTTATCTGCAGTTCATCTTGTATTATTTAAGAAATCATTTATTTATCACCTTCTGAAAACACACACGTTTGTATATTGATTTGAGAATCTATACATCCATTAGGACAAGAACTTTACTAGCCGAAGAAGAAGATTGTTAATATCCTGCTCTGCACAAAGGATTATTAACAATTCATCAGCAAAAGCAATAATGCAGTCTCAGCTTTGTCTTGTTAGTTACAGACAGCATGAGGAGAAACATGTGTCTCCTGAGCTGTTTGTTTACTTCTATGACACCAATACTGATCAAATCTTTTATTTTCAAATGTCATATTTCAGCTGTGAGCTGAGGGTCACCTTTCCTGAGAGACTCGTGTGTGTGTGTGTGTGTGTGTGTGTGTCTCTTTCTCTCTGCTGGTCTCTGTGTTTCTGCTCTGTCTGCTGTTCTCCGCAGAGCAGATGACTGAATGCTCTGACTGAATCACGCAGACTCAGGGGAAGAACACGCAAGAACCAGAAACCTGATGAAGAGCAGCTTCACCTGCAGAATACATGATGAGAACAGACAGACACAAACACTCAGAGCCACACAAATGTTGGTCACTGCAGCACAAACCTGTCTGACTGTCTATCCATCTGTGTGTGTGTGTCTGTCTGTCTGTCTGTCTGTCTGTCTATCCATCTGTCCATCTGTGTGTGTGTGTGTGTGTGTCTGTCTGTCTGTCTGTCTGTCTGTCTGTCTATCCATCTGTCTGTCTATCCATCTGACTGTCTATCCGTCTGACTGTCTATCCGTCTCTCTGTCTGTCTATCTGTCTATACATCTGTCCGTTTATGTGTCTGTCTGTTATGTGTCTGTCTGTCTGTCTGTCTATCCATCTGTCTGTCTATCCATCTGACTGTCTATCCGTCTGTCTGTCTGTCTATCCATCTGACTGTCTATCCCTGTATCTGTCTGCCTGTCCATCCATCTGACTGTCTATCCGTCTGTCTGTCTGTCTGTCTATCCATCTGACTGTCTATCCGTCTGTCTGTCTGTCTATCCGTCTGTCTGTCTGTCTGTCTGTCTGTTTGTCTGTATGTCTGTCCATCTGTCTGTCTGTCTGTCTATCTGTCTATCCATCTGTCCGTCTGTCTATCCATCTGGCTGGCTGTCTATCCATCTGTCCGTCTGTCTATCCATCTGTCTGTCTGTCTGTCTGTCTGTCTGTCTGTCTGTCTGACTGTCTATCCGTCTGTCTGTCTGTCTGTCTATCCGTCTGTCTGTCCGTCT